GCTATTCCACCTCCATACTTGGGGAGACTGCTTTGGTCCTCCATTTCCCAAGTCATAAAATGGGATAGGAGCTCAGACTTCAAAGGCTTGTTATGCCAACAAAAGGAGCAGCATAGGAAAGGGTTCAGTCACAGGCCCAGCACATATCCAGTGGGACTGGGAACTGACTGGGGGTGATAGAGAATCATGGATGTCTTTTTTGAGACAGGGTCTCCCTGTAGCCCCAGCTGTCCTAGAACTCACTATGTAGACCAGGCTGGCCTTGAACTCAGAGATCCTCCTGCCTCTGCCTCCCAAGTGCTGGGATTAAAGGCATGCGCCACCATACCCTGCTATGGATGTCTTTTTAAGCTAGGGAGTAGCTAGGTGATAGATAGGACTTTTTTTTTTCTCTTTTATCTTTTTTGAAAAAAATTTGTCGTCGTTGCTGTTGTTTTCTTTTTGATAGGTAGGCTCTTAAAAGAGTAAAGACTCACTAGTACTCTTGATCAGGCACACCTTGATCTGCAAGTTTCCATTCCTTTTCTCCTTGACTCTAGCTGAACCCTGAGCAAGTCTTCAGCCTACAACACCCTCTGCAAACCCTCCACTGTAGTCTCTAACTTCATCTTGTAGAAGCCCACTGGGGGACACAGGGCTGGGGTGGCCCTAAGTGCTCTCTGCAAGTAGATCATCTGAAGCACTGACCACAGCTAATTCTTCCCTCTCAGATCTCGAGGATTCTTGACACCACCACTGTCCTGCAATCTCCAAGCATGTACTCCCAATTGCAGTCGGCCTTGACCATGTTCCAGTCCCCTTCCTTACTTACTTCTTTGCCTATGCCCTTGAAAGCTGCAACTGTCTTCCTTGCACATCAGCACCTCCTCCACAACCCTGCCCGCCCTTCTCTCCACTGCTCTTGGCCAGATCCCTTTGCCTCCCAGTTCTAAACAATGGAAGTCATCAGACAGGAAAGCCTGCAAGTGTCTGCTCTCCACCTACAAACTTCTTTCCAGCTATACCCTCTTCTACCTCTTTCTACACTCCATTTCCTCAAGTTCATTTGCTCAACGTTGTCTTAGCACCTAATGAATACCAGGTGTCTTCTTAGAAGCCAGAAACACAGCAGGAATCAATGATCAAATTCCTGACTTGGACTCGATATCTTTGGCTTTGGGTCTCCCACTCTCAAAGCACAGCTAATACCAAGGTGTGTAGGGGTGTGTGCGTACATCCGTGAACGTGTGCATGCGTATTATACTGGAGACAGAACCTAGGTCTCTTGGATATTGGCAAGTACTGTATCAGAGTTACTAGCCCAGTTCACAAAGGCCTTTTCCTTTTTTTTGTCTTTTTGAGACAGGGTCTCCCTGTAGCCCCAGCTGGCCTGAAACTTGCTATGTAGACCAGGCTGGCCCTGAACTCAGTGATCTGCCTGCCTTTGCCTCCTGGGTGCTAGGATTAAAGGCGTGCACTACCACGCCTAGCTAAAGGCCTTCTTAGAGCAAATCCAGTTGCTACCTTTTGCTCACTGCTTTCCTGTGGCCTCTTGTCACTGATGCTCAGCATTCCTTCCTTCTTCAACCTCCCTTCTCTCTAGGACACACCTCATTCCTTGATCTCCCAGTTCTTGGGTCACTCGTTTTCTAGCACATACCACTCTCTTCATCAAAACTACTACCCACTGTATGAAAACTTCTGAACTGGCTTCTCTGTGATTCCTGAGTTTGAGGAATGGTACTGATGTTCACCCATGTCCCTGGGTCACAAATTTAATTGAGATTCACAATGCCATCTTTGCCAATAAACCAGCAAGTCCAAACTATTCTCTTTTTCTGCAGTACTAGGGCTTGAATCTAGTACTTACACATGCTAGGCAAGTGCTGTACCATTAAGTTACATCCCCAGCTCTCTTCTTACCTTTTGTGTGGGTGTATGTGTGTGATGTATGCTCATGGGGGTTGGGGGTAGTATATGTGCAGGTATGTATACATGTGTGTGCAGAGACCAGAGGTCAACCTCAGGTATTGTTCTTCAGGACAGCCATTCATCCACCTTGCTGTCTTTTGTGGTTTGGTTTTGTGCGCGCGCATGCGTGCGTGCGTGCCTGCGTGCGTGTGTGCATGTGTGTGTGTGGCTTCTGCTGGATTAAAGACATGAATAGCCATGTCTAGCCCACCTTGTTTTATGAAACAGGATCTCTCACTGAGAACTGGGGCTTATTGATTAGGCTAGGATGGTTGGCCCTGAGCCCCAGGAATTGTCCTGTCTTCACCTCCCCAAGCATTCCACCATGGTTGGCTTTTTACATGGGTTCTGGGGACCTCATTTGTGTCTTCACATGGCCAACACTTTATGGACTGAGCTACTCCATTTACTTTTATCTTGAGCTATTGTCTCAATACATTGTCCAGGCTGGTCTTGAAATTGAAATCTTTCTGCCTCAGTCTCCCAGATAGCTGGAATTACAGATTTATACCCCAGGTCAGCTGTCACTGCCCTTCTTACAGAGGTCTTGAGTCAAGCATGGTGACACAGTGCTGAGGCAGGAGGACTGTGAATCCACAGCAAGATCTTGTCTCCTTACCTCCTCCCCAAAGTCTAAACCTGCACCCCTCCCTCCTGCCCCTGCTTCAGTGCCCTAAGAACCTTCTGACATGTCGCCTACTGTGGTCCCCACAGGCCTCTGCTCTGCTCTTTGCTGGTTCTTCTCACCTAAAGGCACCATTTATTGAGGGCTTAGTACCCTCAGGCATTGTGCCACAAGGTAAATTATCCCACTAGGTAAATAAATGGAGTTGGCTTCAGAGTCAGAGGTCCATAAGTAATCTAGAGATTAAAGAATATAGATATAGCTGGGCGTGGTAGTGCACGCCTGTAATCCCAGCACTTGGAAGGCAGGCAGGCGGATCTCTGTGAGTTCAAGGCCAGCCTGGTCTACATAGTGAGTTCCAGGACAGCTGGGGCTACAGGGAGACCCTGTCTCAAAAAGACCAAAAAAAAAAAAGAATACACAGGTCAGATACAAACACTATGCCATTTGGATTTTAGTCACCTAGAGAGTGGAGGGGCATCTAGAGTCAATCCCTCTTAGGTTCTGAGGTCCAACTACATTAATATAAATCTCAGACTACAAGTGAGAAATATATGCTTTAGAGATATATTCACAGTCACCACTGATGAAAGCCACAGGCCAGGCTCCAGGGGCCGATACTGGGAAACACTCCTGGAAACTGTGCACTCCCTGGCCTCTTAGCTCCACTCCCGTCCATAGGTCCCTCCCTGGTCATTTTAGTGATCCTATGTGTAGAACGTAGAGTTAGCCTGAAAGTTGTTCACAGACATCTCCCCAGTAAAGACATCAGGTGGAATAGTGACCCTCAACTCCTGTAACTGCTTCTACGTTGCAGACTGGCTCTGAATTCTTCCAGAGCACAGATCCTTGTTCTAAGGACTGAAGTGTTGGTCTTCCAATAAATGCTGTAAACAAGTAAATAATAATGATCATATTAAGACCCTGAGACATATTTCCTATGTACCAACTCACAGGAGACCTATTCTGGTTTCATACAAAGAAATGAAGGCACTATGGCCAAGCCTGGTGGTGCATGCCTGTAATTCTAGGAGACTGAGAGGATCACAAGTTCAAGACTCGCCTGGGCTACAGGACCACCCTGGGCAACTTAGGACCCCATGTCAAAAATAAAGTAAAAAGAAGCCTCAAGGTGTAACTCGGTGGTAAAGTACTTGCCTAGCATGCACCAGGTCCTCAGTTCAATTCCCAGCATAAGGAAGAGGGAGAGAAGAGTGAGGGAGGGAGGGAAGGTAATAAAAAAGGAAGAAAGAAACTGAGGCATGGGGAAGTTAAAAAACAACCCAAGAGCATAGAACTCTTTGGAGCAGAAATGTCTATTAAAAGCATTTTTGCCTTCAGTTCTACACAGCAGGTTCCTCAGCTCTTCAGAAACCACAAGGCTAGTATAGTACTAGGCTCTCTAGAACCTGTCCCCAAAGAGGACATGTGTTTTAGTTTAGCTCCAAGGATCCCTCATTCCATCATACTGCTGCTATTATAAGGAACAAAACTATACCTTTTTCTTTCTTGGGAGAAAGTGGGGAACAAAGTGTCATTATGTAGCTAAGACTGGCCTCTAACTCAAGATCCTCCTGACTCAGCCTCCTGAGGGCTGGAAATGCAGCATTTGTGAAGTGCTATTAGGAAGCCCAGTCCAGGGTTGAGTCCTGGGAAAAAGCTTCACTTAGTAAAACATTTCTTGGAACATCTACACTGCCTTTGTACTATGCTGGGGACATGAAGATAAAAATCGATACACAGTATGTGTCCCCAACTCCAGAAGCTGATGGGAACGTGAAAATAACTAAATGAATGAAAGCCTGTCAACATGCCAAAGGCCTCTGTGTGCTCCATTAGGGGAACACCGTGCTGTGGGAACTTGATGGAAGAGGAAGAAGCTTGTTGGGGGAGGATCAGAGAGAAGACAGGCTTGGGAGGATGACCAGCATTTTTAAAGAGGGTTTGGAAGGGGGAGAGTAGTGTGGGAGACAGGAAGATGGGCTGAATCAGGAGGCACAAGCATGGCTGCCTTAGAGGGCAAGGGCTACCCAGGAAAGGGCTTTCTCATATGTAAACGGGCCCAAATTAGACTGTCTTCAGAAGATGGAGTTAGAAAAGTGCAATAATGTAACACCACACTTGACACTATACTTGGCACACACTAACCCTCAGCATAGTAAAAGCTACTACAAAATGGCCTCAAGGGCCAACTCAAATGCCTGGTTCTAGTTCTTCCTCTCCACAAGACCTGGGAGTTCAGATTCATCTGAAAGAGGGAGAATTATATGCTCCTCAGAGCTGCCAAGAGGACTAAGTTAATTCACAGTAACTATTCACAGTAACTGCACTACAGTAGGAACACACCAAAGAAGGCCACTGTGTAGGTCAGCTAGCCAGCCAAGAAGCTAGTGCCAACAGAACTCAGGCCTGTCAAGCCACTCACCAGCGGCTCCAGGTCCGGCAGACTCGCATGCAGACACAGAGCTCTCGGGGTCCAAGGTGCTGGAAGACACGAAGCCAGGCAGCCCGGGGAAGAGGGTGGTCGGATCCAGCAGCCAAAGGCAGAGTGTCAGGCTCGGGGCTTCGAGGAGGGGGCCGAACCACATGTCGCTCCAGCTGTGGAGGCCTCGGTGGAGGGGCAGGGCCCAGGGGCCAGCTAAGCAGGGGCCCCCCACTACCAGGGCGTACAGCCCGGCGCCCCCCACGGTTCTCCTTCTCGCCAGAGCTGCCCCGGGCTGGCCGTCGCCCATTCCGGGCCTCGCCAGGGGCCTCATCCTCACTAAGTGATGTGCCAGATGAATCCGAGTCAGAATCTGAGTCCGAAGAAGAAGAAGAGGTATCAGGCACCCGCTCCAGCAGTTGGCACATCCGCTTGAAGCGCTCCAGCTTCTCCCTCTGTGGTGATGGAGATGGCACTGCTGGGCCCTCAGCAGAGGCCAAAGGTGGCTTTGGTTTCTGCAAGGAGACAGGGTGAGGCTATACCAGGGCCTAGGACACACTTTCCCAACCACTCACCCAAAAGGAGTCAGCAGAGGATCAACAGTCTAGGAGATGATACTCCTGAGTTCTAAACTGCTCCCACACAGTCCATCTCCAGACTTCAGTTTCCTTATCTACTATGTAAAGGCACCATTCAAAGAAAGGGAAAGCCTGGTGGGTTATTCCATGGCTCATGAACCTCCCAGAGACCTTGTGCTGAGTGCTGGCTTGCCTTTCAACTATGTGATGTTGAAGGCCCTGCCTCATTCTCCACAACATGGAATAGCTAGACTAGACAATTCCACAGTGTGGGAGTAACAATAATCATCTGTTCCTGTATGGCTCCTAAAGTCTTCAAAGTGGCCTCATGTACAGGCAACTGGGGCCACTCTTTAAACATGAGGAAACAGGCTGCAGAAGACTAACTGCATTTTCCAAGGTTACAGATTGATAACGGGCAGAGGATTTGCACACAGTCAGACCTTTGTGTTTAGACTGTCAGTGTATAGTAACATCAGAACTCCAGCTTTGCTGTGTGTCCTGAGGCTAACCTCTCTGGGCCTCATTTCCCTTGAAACCAGACAGACTTTATGATTTGCAAAGCCCATTTACTTTTGTACCTCTTTAGATTTATCTAGTGCTGTGGGATGGGGGAAGGGCTAAGTAGGTAGCTTCATCTTCATCTCACAAATGAGGAAATCATTTGTCAGCCCAGAGCAGCTGACAAACTGCCAAGACCATACAAAGAATCAGTGGTGGGCAAAGAGATACTCAGTTCTTTCCCCTTGAAGGCTTACAAAACTGAGGCAAGTGGGCCAGATGATATCTTAAGGGTTGCTGGAAATAGGGGCTCCTGTGACTCAGAACCAGTCTACTCTCCCACCAAGGTCTTCCCGGGGGTCTAGGTGCACATGAGGATTATGTGGGGCTGTAGCAAGAAAGGTGAGCAGGAAGGGAAAGATCTTAGTCTCCAAGATGAAGGGTGGGGCAAGGAAGGGTGGGAACAGGAGGGAGGAGGTCCCCGGCACACCTCCCAGTTCTCGGGAGGGAGCCCAGGGTGGCAGGATGAGAATGCCTGGCTCGGATTCAGAACCCTGGGGGGCAGAAGGCCGGGGCTGCCTGGGTCCGCTCCTCGGAGGAGGCAGGCATCTCCACCCACCTTCTTCAAGTGCCTCTCTCGGCCTCCTTTCACCTACCATGGAAAAGAAAGACATGGGGGAAGAAAGATACCCCATTAGAGGGCCTTACTAACCACAAACTAAGGTCTATGACCTCTTTTTCTTGAACTACAAATCCCAGAAGTCCCCATCCCAGGAAGAACTCTGGGCATGCTCACCTAGCATCAGTGCCTTGGCTTACTGAGCATGCTTTCATCTCTTTCTTCCCCCTCAGGCTCTTTCCAGCCCTTCCCTCCTCCACAGTAGTAGTTTGAGCATGCTCTGTCCTTCTTCCCTAGTCCATGCAGGTTTCTCAAAGACTCCTGGCTCATGCCAGTTAACCCTCTGTGTGTGCTTCTCCTTCACTATGAACACACTCCATCCATCGTCCCACAACTACTCCTGAGTTATAGCTCCCAACAACTCCTCCCAATCAGGCCCTTGCCCCAGAACCAACCCACCCACCAAGGCAAGACTACAGTTCCCAGAATCCCTTGGGCTAGAACCAGTCAGCATGCCTCTTCTGCTCACCTTTTTCCTTGGGGTGGGGGGCTCATTCCCTGCCTCCCTCTCCTTCCGTTTGGGGGGCCCAGGCACATCATCAGGGGGAGGACCAGCAGGTAAGGGTCCCTTTCGTCTGGGTGGGGGTGGTGGAGGTGTTGGCTCCTCTGTCAGCTTCCATCCGCCCCCTAGGCTAGCACCTTCCTCACCATTGTCAGCCCTACGGCGGCCTGGCCCCTCACCTGCATCCTGGAAAGTGTAAGCTAGGGATGAGGCCCTGCCTAGCTCCTTACCCCCCAACCCTGCCCCTAGCCCAGCTGCTACTTTACCTTGCTTGTACGCCCTTCCTGGGTACAGCGGGGGCACTCCCAGCAGTTGGGAATCTCTGCATTGATAACACCCTCAGCCTTTCCCATCTGTAGGCAAGAGACCAGGTAATGGATACAGGGTGTACCAGGTGCCAGTACAAGCCCAGAGATACTATGGCCCACCTCCTTCCTCCCTGATGGTCTGCCCAACCCCAGGCTGCAGGATCCCTAGGGTCATCACCTTCAGGCAGCCAGGGTGGACGATCTCATTGCAGATTGTACACTCCATTAGGCTCAAACCAAATTTCTCTTCCTCTCCCTCCACTGTGTCCTCCTTCCCTGCCTCCCCACACAAGAGGCACACGGCTGTGTGTGGCAGCACGGGCTGTTGGGAAAGAGGAGGCATCAGGGACCCCAACACCAAGTAGCAAGGGAAAAACTTTCTTCTATGGACCCTGGTCAGCTGCAGGATGAAGCAGGTTCAGAACCTATAGGCCAGGCTTGGCCAAATTCTGAATTTGGTCCCTTTTGTCAGGATGACCTTCAGCAACTGATTTAAACGTCACTCTGTCTCTGCCTCTGTAAAATGGGGCTAATGATCTTTTCCTTGCCGGACCATCATAAAAACAGGATAAAGCTAGTAAAAATAGGATAAAGTTGGTCTGGTGGCCCATGCCTTTAATCCCAGCACTCAGGCAGAGGCAGGCGGATCTCTGTGAGTTTGAGGCCAGCCTGGTCTACATAGTGAGTTCCAGGCCAGCTGGGGCTACAGGGAGACCCTGTCTCAAAAAGACCAAAAAAAGCTTTCCTTTTGCTGCTGCGGCCACAGCCATGAGTATGCTCCAGCTTCAGAAGAGGCTTGCCTCTATAGTGTCCTCCGCTGTGGCAAAAAGAAGGTCTGGTTGGACCCCAATGAGACCAATGAAATTGCCAATGCCAATTCACGTCGGCAGATCCGGAAGTTGATCAAAGATGGGCTGATCATCCGGAAGCCTGTGACTGTCCATTCCAGGGCTTGATGCCGGAAAAACACCTTGGCTCGCCGGAAGGGCAGGCATATGGGCATAGGTAAGCGGAAGGGTACTACCAATGCTAGAATGCCTGAGAAGGTGACTTGGATGAGAAGGATGCGGATTCTGCGAAGGCTTCTCAGGAGATACCGTGAATCGAAGATTGACCGCCACATGTACCATAGCCTGTACCTGAAGGTGAAGGGGAATGTGTTCAAAAACAAGCGGATTCTCATGGAACACATCCACAAACTGAAGGCAGACAAGACCAGCAAGAAGCTCCTGGCTGACCAGGCTAAGGCTCGCAGGTCTAAGACCAAAGAAGCATGCAATTGCTGTGAGGAGCACCTCCAGGCCAAGAAAGAGATCATTAAGACTCTGCTCTGTCCAAGGAGGAAGAAGCTATGAAATGAAGCTCCGCTCTTGTGTCTGTACATAATGGCCTCAGTCATTAAAATAGAATGAGACTTTGTTGAAAAAAAAAGAGAAAGAAAGAAAAAAGACCAAAAAACCTAATAGGACAAAGCACGCCAGGTGTGGTACCACATGCCTCTAATCCCAGCATTAGGGAGGCAGAGACAGATGGATCTTTGTGAGTTCAAGGCCAACCTGGCCTACAAAGCAAGTTCCAGGCCAGCTGGGGCTACAGGGACCCTATCTGAAAAAGACAAAAACAACAACAACAAAAAAACCAAAATAGGACAAAGCATGATGGGGATTGGATACACAGCTATTATCACTGTTGTGATCATTAGCACTGGATCCAGAGCTAGTGTGACCCTGAAATTATAGCTGGCTTGGAGCGGGGGAGACCACAGGTAAATATGACACTACTCAGAGTGAGTTAGAGACGACATGACAGTAGCCTACAGTAATTCTGAGGTGGTCAGTGGGTGGTCCAAGGATGACTCTGGATCCCATAGAAAGACCATTTTGGGAAAACTGGGAACACTGAAGGCAGCTGCCTAATCTTAGGGGAAAAGAAAGAGCAGACTGGAAACAATGTGACTTTGGGGAGGACAATGGTAACTGAATCATATCAGGGATGCTGAAGGCCATGAGTCTAGATCATGGAAGAAAGTACAGAAAGAAGAACCAGGAAAGTGAGGCAAGAGGTTGGGGGACAAAGAAGAGAAGGGGCTGTGGGAGTAAAAGTACAGTTGGGGGAGTGGCTGGAGGGAGAGGGAGGCAGTGTTGTGGGATGCGGGTGCAGGATGCAGCTGATTTCTCATAGCTGCTGGTGAATGGCCACTCTCTGCTACTCAGGGCTCCTCAAAGAAGGCAAGGAAGAAACCATGTTTCACTAATACCTGCTGTGTGCTGAGCCCTGTTAGGCACATTCATAGCATTATCACCCTATTGTTGAATCTTTGCAACTCAGCAAGGGAAATCCTTTACAGAGAAGGTATGTGAAGTTTGAAATGATTTGCTCAAGGTCACAGAGGGTCCTCCTTCAAATCCAAGATCCTAAGGTTTGTGAAAGAGACCAGAGAAAGGCAGGAGCTACTCTCTGGTGCTAGGTGTGGAGACAGGTATCTCTTGCACAGGTACCTGGGCAAGAGCATACAGCAGGGACTGACCTTTCTATGGGCCTGAGGCAGATTCTTCCATGCACCTCACACTTTGTGATAAAGACAAAACGGACATTAAACAAATCAGTGAAGGAAGCCAGGAAATGAATGAGTGGACAAACAGCACCTCTCAACTACATCCAGGGAAGCAGGGGCCCAGAAATTGCTGGGCCAATGTTGATAGTGCTCTGGGGATGTTAGCCTGGGGCTCTGAGGAGTCCAAGCATAGGTGGCAGAACTCACCGCAGTGCACTGCCGAAGCAGGCACGACTGCTTCATGCGCCCGGGCCCCCCGAACTTCTTCATGTCTCGGCAGAAGTGGCAGTCCCCGCACTCAGTTCGCACACAGGCCCGGCAGCGACGGCAGCGGGTTCGGCGACGGCGCGCTCCGGCCCCCGGCCCCCGGCTGCTCGACGACATTGGGGGCGTCAGCAACGCCGAGGGCTGTGGGCAGATGGTGGCAGGGTCAGGCAGGCCTGCTAAGCCTGGCCTGAGAGAATCCTGGTAGCAAGCTCCCTGCAGGCCTGGTCTGGATGAGCTGCCCTTCCTACCCAGGAGACTAGGAGGTCAGCACTCCTGTGTATATCTGGCGTGGAGGGCCACTCCCCTCGGCTCAAGGCCTCCCTCCTCTGACCTCTCCTCTAACACTCCCTCAAGCTCAATCCCAAACCCTGGGAGGAGAGATACTGGGCCCCTCCTCTAAGATCCCCAAGCCAAGGTTCCTGGAAAGGGCTTCATGTCTGCGCCATTACCTCACGGAGGCCCGACTCTTACCTGTTATTCAAATGTAGAACACAGATTTACCTTCAGATTCCAGGGCTGGAAACACCTTACATTTCTTTCTCCCTCCCTATTTTCTCTTTCTCCTAGATACAGCCATCCAACCTCTCCTTTCAAAACTGGACACTCTCACGACATCCAATGGGATCCTTGCAACTCCACCCCTAATGACCCACTATGGTCCCAACTTCACAGGGCTGAAACCCCTTTAAGTGTCTCTTCACATCGCAGAATCACAACTCCTTTTCCCACCACAGAAATCCCTCTGCTCCAGGACATCCTCTAGGATCCTCAGGCAGCCTGGGCAATCACCTAGGTTTTTCCCCAGATTCTAGAATCCAGCCTGACATCTCCACAAAATTCAGGATAGGCTCCGTTTTAGTTTCCCCCCACTATGCCCCAGCTTACCAGGCTGCTTTTCATCCCTAATTGTCTGGAATCCCTGGGGCTCTCCTGCCCATGGAAACCAGATCCTCTAAGATCCCACACCGACTCAGCAAGCCTGGAGGGGTCTCTTCCCGGTCAGTCTTAGACCCCCTTCCCCCTTACTTCTCCCTTTCCAAGGACTTCCAGACCCATCCACCGGGTAAAGGGCCCTCCAGCACTCCAGGGGAGAGGCCTAGAGAGCCGCGACTGCAGGCGGGGGGGAGGCGGGGGGGGGGGCAGGAGGGGGGTCTGCAGGGGCAGCAGGGTCCGGGAAGGAAGGCCAGTTCCCCAGGGTGGAGAGGTTATAGGAAAGGGTTGGAGAAGAGTTTGGAGCAAAGGGAGGGTGAGGCTGGGGGCGGGGAAGGCAGGGAGAGGCCGGGCTCAGGATGAATGGGAGTGGGAGCTGCCCAGGTCTGGGGGTGAGGAGGAGCCGCATGAACCCACCTCACACGTGTCCCGGGAGCCATCTCTCCCTTCTCGGCAGCTCCCGGCGGGTCGGCGGCCATCGGCGGCGGGGGGGCCGGGCGGCGCGGGGCGCGGAACGCTCAGAACGCCGGGGTCCACGGCCCCCCGAGGGCGCTCGGCCCCTCCCTCCGGCGGAGGCCGGGACGGCGGCGAGTGGAGATGGGGAGCGCCGGGGGCGAGGCCCTCCCACGGGCTGCGGCGCGGCCCTTCCAGGGGGAGGTCCTGCTCTGGGGGGCTCAGTCCCTCAGCCCCCCCAGGCCAACGGGGGCTTCTCGGGCGCAGGGTGCTCAGCTTCTGCCCGGACCCCGCTCAGTCCCGGGTCCGAGTCCCAGCTCCCCTCCCCCACCTCTCCCCAGAGCCCCCGACCCTTTAACTGGCCCCTTCCCCGCTCCAACTGCCCAGGGGTCCAAGGGACAGGCCGGGACCCCCACCGTTTCCGGGGTTCAAGCCCCGCCCACCGCCGGTTCCCGGGGAGGGGGGGGTCGCGGTAACCTGCCCCCCTCCCCGGGGTCCGCCCCTGTATTGAGGCCCCCTGACCTACGGCGACAGGGCGAGCAGAGGGGGGTGAAGGAAGCTGCTCCGGCCCCGCCCCCCCAAGCCCGCGCGCGCCCCCCCCCCACCCTCTCAAACGCGCGACCCTCGGGATATAGGGATTTAAATAAAATTTGAATAAATTCCCTCCTCAGACCGGAGGGTGGAAGGAAAGGATGGAGGAGAGGCAGGAAGGGGTGGGGGCAGTTGGGGGGTCTCAGTCCCCCTGGT